GGGAGCTAGCTAAAGCTGACAGGCGCCAGGCACGGGGCACATGAGGACACGGTCACTCCACACGCGGTCACTGAGCGCCTACTCCCCGTGCTGGGGGGTTGGGGGGCAGCACAAGACAGACCCACCCCTCTCTCCGGTGCCTCCAGAGGAGAAGACAGCCGACCACAGAGCGAACGCAACTGCAGGCGGTGAGCACGTGAGGAAACCAGGGAATGCGGGGAGTGGGTGGGGTGGGCGTGGGGGGCTGTTGCTACTTTATCAGCCTCAGCGGGAAGGCCCCTCTGATCCGCTGATCCCCGGGCCGGCACCGCGGGGGCTGGAAGGAGGGAGCTGGAGCTGCTCTCGGCCTAGACTGCCCGTTCTCCGCTTCCAGAAAACTCCTACTCACCCATGGAAACCCTTTTCAGGCGCCGACTGTTCCCTGGCCAGACGGCACTCGGCCCAGAGGGCACAGCTTACTGCTGTCCTCAGAAAGCCCGCCACCCCCGAGGGACGCCGGGGAGACGAGGAACATCTGCGGAGCCGTTCCCACGTGCGAGGTCTCCCCACGTCTCCTCTCCTCTAACCAGACAGCACCTCCTGCCTCCCGCCCCGGGGGAGGGGTCAGCTCAGCCGCCTGCTGGAGGTCCTCTGGCTGCCAGACCCAGGGGAGCGGCTTGAACCCGGCCGCTCAGCCTCTGAGAGCCTTTGCACCTGCCCCTCTGTGAACAAATATTGCTATGGGGCAGGCAGGGTGGTCCCAGGGCAGGTGCTCGGCTTCGGGGGAGACGAGGGGGGCCACTGGGCGGCCCTGACCTGGGCAGGGATGGGGGGTTTCAAGGCCGATAGCTGGAAACCCTCCCGTCCCGGACCCGGCGATGCTCTGAGAGGCGGAAGGGGGACCAGGGCAGGTGGGGGGCAGAGGCCTCCAGGTGGCCGAGCCAGGACACTGGGTCACCGAGGGACGCCCGTCCATCATCTCCCCGGGACAGCAGCCAGCCAGGAGAGCAGTGGTCACAGGAGCGTCTCGGTCATGCGGAAGCTCGCCAAGACGTGATGTTGAATTAAAAGGCCAGACACACGATTTATGTGCGGATGGAACAGCTGTAAGTGAAGGAAGGAGCCGGCGGCGCGAAGCTGGAGGACAGGGGCTGCGCTCCGCTGAGGCCGCCTGCGTCCGCTCTTCTGTCCTCGGCGAGCCGGGCACTTTGTGGTGAACAATTGGGCATAAGAAGAAGGAACGGCGACTGTTCCTTGGTGGGCGGCTGAGGGGAGGAGGCAGCTAAGACGGGGAGAGAGTAATTAAGACGAGCGATCAGGACCTCTGAGCTGGGGCGCCAGGCGCCGGCCTCTCCCGACCTCTCTCGGAGCATCTCCCCGCCCCTCCCGCCGAACCCTGAACCTCTGGGGCGGGGAGGGGCTGAGGTGCTGCAGGGCCTGCCCGGGTCAAAGGACTCTGGCAGGATTCGAACTCCGGGTGCCCGGGGCTCCCTCTGCCAGTGTCTCCTTCACTCCGCGGCACAAGTGGGCACATCCACGGGCACAGACCTGGGTCACCCCGGAAGTCACCGGGCCCTGCCTGTTTTTGGCTAATCCTCCCCCGAGGATATTCCCCCATTGATTTTTAGAGCGAGTGGAAGGGAGGGTGAGAGACAGACAGAGAGAGAGAGAGAGACATCGATGTGACAGGGACATACCGATTGGTTTCCCTCCCGCATGTGCCCTGACCGGGCAGGGGATGGAGCCTGCGATGAGGCGCGTGCCCTGGACCAGAATGGAACCCGCAAACCCTTCATTCCAGGCCGACCTCTAACACGGAGAACACGGCCGGGCACCTGGTCCTTTCCTTTGGACCCGGGGACGGGCGTGTCCTGGGCACCCAGCCCTAAGGAAAGGGGGTCTCTGTCCCGTGTAGGGGGGCCCTTGGGGCAGGGACAGAGCAGAAAGGAGAGAAGGCTTTAACCCGGAGACTCTCTGGGGGCACGTCTGCTAACTCCCCGGACTCCCTCGCCGTTGGCGGGTGTCCCCCTGCAGAAAGCAGACCCGGCCTGGCGCACTGCCGGGGAGACAGGGGCCCGCGTTCCACCAGGAGGAGGGTTCTGGGGTGAACTCAGGCGCCCGCGGGGGGCACGGGTGAGT